ACTTATTTCCTGCTAGTGTGGAGATTTCGGGGGTGTATAACTTACAGGAGTAGTAGACTAGATCAGGATGGATAGACTGAACTCACCGTATAGAGAGAATAACCATATATATAGACTAAAGGCAGGATAAAATATAGACAGCATGTAAATATTGACACCTGGGCGTGGCCATCTTGGACAGGCTAATACTGCTGGTGCTGCTGCCTGTCGGGGGGAAAACAAGGAATAGTTACTTAGGCATGGGTTACATAGAGTGATGCAATAATCCGTGCCAGCCACGGGATGACTCATCGGGTGAAACGATTGCACCACAGTGATTGCGCCAGTGAATGAAATCTGCGTGTTGCCAGCTAGGTATATAAGGCGAGACGAACAGAGCAGAAAGTGTGTTGCTTTTCAGGTTAGGTCTAGATAGGAAGAAGAAGAAGAAGAAGAAGAAGAGGACGAAGAGAAAGAGGAAGAAAGCAGTTAGGTACAGGTCTAGGAAGAAGAGGAAGAAGAAGAAGAAGAAGGAGAAGAAGCAGCCGAGGACGAGGCGAAAGAGGGAGAAGCAGTTAGGTACAGGTCTAGGAAGAAGAGGAAGAGGAAGAAGAAGGAGAGGAAGCAGCCGAGGACAAAGAGAAAGAGGGAGTTATTTTTCAGGTATAGGTTAGGTAGGAAAACGGGAAGAGAAAGGAGAGGAGGAAGAGAGGGAGCGAGAAAGCGTCAGAGAGGATAGAAGCACAGGTTTTTCAGGTAGGTGTAAACCGGAGCCGAACGGGAGAGGGGGAATAAAGCGAGAGCAGCAAAGAACGGCATTCTGGTTAGGTAGAGCTAGGAGCGACTGCGAGGGAGAAACCTGGGAGACTGCCTAGGTCCACGCGAAGCAAGGACGAACGTGAGGGAAGAAGACGAAACCGGCGACGCGTAAATATTGGACAAGATCGATAGAAGGTGCGCTGCATATACGAATGCAGGGGGAATCATTTGTACACTAGTAACACGCAATAAAAGCCATATAACCATACCGTTAACCGAATCTCACCGTGTTCTGTTTAACTGGTGCTATCTGTTATCTGCTACGTGACATCACCGTCCTGCCTAATACACCGACAGGAGCGGACCCTGAATCCCACCACTGGACACGCGTTACGAACTAACGTCTGTCGAACCATAGTCGGCCACCCCTAGGGTCACTACAGACGCTCATGTCTTGCTCTGTGCAATGAAGTTGCTGGGAATGACAGATATGCAAGACATTCCTGATGGTTTTCCCACGAATGGAACTAGGAAAGCCCAGATGACTTGGCTCCATCAACTGGCGCAGGAGGTAGTGGAATTCTGTTGGGAAACTCCTGACAACGAAGGCATCAGGATTGCTGCAAAGGCATATGCTGAGGATCCTTCTGATAATTGTGATGGATATGTAACGTTTTACAGTTGTCAGACAGGTATGCAGTTTCCCAAAACTCGGTTCAAAGCATATCATTTATAATAGGGGAGGCTATAACATGTACCAGGTTAAGATAGATGATGAAGTATTTTACAATTTTGATTAGTTACAGAAAAGGATGAGGAGAGATGCTACTGTGCTGTAGCTTGACCTGCAACATTGGCTGGTTCCACATGAGCTGTGTTGGACTAGATCGGGCTCCGGATGCAGAAACAGACTGGTACTGCAGCACGGAATGTGCTAGCAGTGACAGCTACATTTACTGCATATGCCATCGCAAACAAGATTCCACGATGATTCAGTGCTCGCTCGGGGAAAACTGTAGGGGCTCGGAGTGGTATCACAAGTGTTGCAAAGGGATTCAGCCGCAGGAACCTCTACCTGGTAAACATAACCTGCTGCTTTTTTGTGTTGAAAAAGTTAGCTCCTTATGAGCGATGCAATGCAGCGCAAGGCTCAACGTCATGGTTCCACTTTTACACATGACGCATTTTACAGATACCTGGTACTGTCGTGAAGCATGCAGTCTAGGCTCAGAACGAGACGACTATGTGCTAAACCATACCAAGGCTCTAATGTATGAAGGGCTGTCACACATGTCACGAAGGATGGCGGTGCGAGAGGGTGACGGTGCAGCAATGGTTGATGACTGGAAAGTGTACTTGTTGCAGTTCTGGTCTAGGAAGCATCCTAAATATTACACCATTGCTCACTCTTTCCTGGCATGTAAGTAAGCAATGATCCGACAACATTAATTAAAATCAATTATAATTATTTGTTATAACGTTTCAAAGTATACAACATATCCATCATTTCCAACTGGTACTGTCGTAACAAGGTTCTTGGTCAACAAAATTCCATGGTCTTTCCTTTGTTAATTCACAGGTGTTGGGGGGGATGTGCTCCACCCAGAATGCAACACAACTACATTTGGAATAGAGTGGCCAACCCAAAAGGGAAGCCTAGTGGGAACATTAGACTCGATCTGTGCAATGAACATATCAATCGAGACTTCAAAGGTATGAACAGTTTATGCACACTTTGCACTGCTCTTTAGATGTAGTGTGCCTGCTTTGTCGAAGCACCATGGATGGCGTTAAGCATTACATTGTGGTGATGCAAAATATTAAGCATTCAATTACTACGAAGGAAGGTATTAGATAACTAAGAAGTTGAAAAACTAGACAACTACGCAACTGAAATAATAAGCCGTGTAGAATGAATAATACTAGCTATGATAATCATACATTTCATAGCGTGATACAATTATTATACATGCTTAATGATATTTCTGTTAACAGAAATGCTGCGACACTCTCACGGCAATTACACACCAAAGCAAGTGGAACGATGTTCACAAATGTCTGGGCCATTTGGAAAAACCTTAGATGACCTGTTCTCGGATGTAGGGTTGGTCAACATGAGGACTGCAGATCGAAGTAGCAGGAACAGTGTGGTGTATGGAGAAGAAATCCGCAGGTTTGTGACGGAGTACTTCAATAATGCCCTCTGTGACTACATACCAGGCCGGGAACACGAGACATTTCAAAACTTTGACATGCGCCGTGGCATATCATCGCCCATGAAGCTTGGGCAAAAGCTGAAGAGCTTCTCTGCACGGATGGATTCATGGAGAAAGATAACACAATATCACACTGTCAGGAAAACAGGTGATGTGTGATGCATTTCCACAGCTCTTAGCCTCGATAGGACCATTGCACACAAGCCACTGACTATTTCTTCTCTTCTTTCTTCTCTTCAATCTTTCTTCTATTTCTTCTCGGAAGGGATGGCCGAACAGTGCTTCAGAGATTTGACGTCCATGCCTGGTAGGAACAAGAACTGTAATATGGACCTTCGGATGCATTGCTCTCCAGTTTGTGCGCAAAATGGTTATTAAGTGCGTATATGTGGAATAAATCAGATGAACAGAATATATCAGTCACCTGATTTACATTTTACTACAACGTTTTTCACGAATAAGAGTAACGGAGTACTAGAGACAATAAAACAGACTCCGTTCTAG